TCGCCGCCCCCTTGAAGGGCTGCGATCTTCGAAACTGTTGCCACTTCCATTGGCTCCTGGGAGGCCCAGCGGGGGTGCGTCTTACGCAGATCACCATGAAAGCTCGCCGTCCCCTGGGGGGGACGGGTTGCGATGTTGGGGGGTCCAGCGCCGCTGCCTGCGCAGACCCGATCGAAACCGCACGGCGATTCCTGGGAGGATGAGGAGTAGGGGAAGGAAGACAACGACGGGGTGCCACTCGGGGGAAGAGAGCCTGGCCCCCCTGGGAGGAAGAGGGGAAGGAGGAGGGCCACTCCCGGGATGGGGACGAAGGGACGTAGAAATGTAGGACCTTTTTTTTTGGGGGGGGGGGCAATCGGCTATCTGACTTATCTTTGCACGGCCGTTCCGAGGAGGGGGGGGGGGGGGGGGGCGGAGGCGGCGGAGGAAAACGACCGGGGTTGGAGAAGGACGACGAGGAACCCACAACTAGTAGGAGGGAGGAGTCCATGCCGCACCCCCTCTTCAGTTGTCTCTTGTCCGCAGTGCACCCGGACACTTGCAGCGCTTAGCGCAGGGCGTTGTTCTGTCACAGCGCGCATGGCGCTGTTCTGCAATGCTAACATGGCGCGGTGCGATGTTATTCCCACGGATTATGTCTCCAATTGCCCCTCCTCGTTGTGTTTCCACACCCCCTCTTGGTCCGACGTTCTTTGGCGTGCCGTTCAAGCGCACGGCGGATCCCTCAGTGTTCGTTGTTGTACTGAACGGTCAGATGTATAGTCGCTTCATGCGCACAACCGGTTGGTAAGACCTTTTCTTTCGAGGGGGGGTTATCGCGCCTTCAAGAACCTTTGCTGGGCCGAGGGGCTGTCAAAGCATGATGAGCAGTCGTTCCAAAAAGCTTTGCCGAGAAATTTACCTGGCGAACAAGCCAGCCGCATGCAGTTGGGAGCGACGCTGTTGCGAAGATCGTCTTCGGTGGAACTCCCTATGGGATTGCGAAACGCGCGCGGGGGGCGCCGAAGTAAGCGGGGCGGGCGCATGCGAACGCCGCCGATGGCGCCTTCGGTGGAGCTCCCTGTGGGGCCACGGAACGTGCGAGGGGTGTGTCGAAATGGGCGCGGTGGGCGCGTGCGGACGCAGCCGCTGGGGTCTCCGGTGGCGCCCCTCATGGGTCCACGAAGCGCGCGGGGGGTGCGCCGAAATAAGCGGGGCGGGCGCGTGCGAACATCGCCACCGGGGTCTTCGGCGGAGCTCTCTACGGGGCCACAAAGCGCGTGAGGGGTGCGCCGAGATCAAGGCCAGCTGCGTTCCTGGACGGACCGCATCAGAAAGCAGGAGCGCCAGCTTGGCAGGCAGATTCAGGAGTTCGGGGAGATCCGTGCCAAGGTCACGGGGTCGCAGAACCGTGAGACGGAACTGGCGGCAGCCATCGAGGAGTGGGAGCAGGCCATCAAGCAGCTCAAAGTGGACCAGCTCGAGGCGGTCGCCAAAGTACTTCAAGCCTCTCTGGATGATTTTGGTGGGCTCTTCGAGGGGCTGCGCAGCATGCCGAATGCTGTCGCTGGGCCGGGCACGCCCCTTGAGAACTTGGCGCCCCCGCCAGGCGCCCGCGACGCGGCGCTCAGGGCAGCGCAGGCCAAGCAGGAAGAGTTGCAGCGGGCGGCAGGGCAAGCAAAGCCAGGCACGGCACCTGCAGCCCCAGTGGCTCCAGCGAGGGCAGATTTGGCGGATGGCCAAGGAGGCCCCCGGCGCCTCTGGGCTGCCCGCGGGGAACGATGCGACGGACGACAAGGAGAGTTTTCCATCGACCAGCAGAAGGACTGACTGCGCAAGGCGGGCATCTTCGACGTTCGTTGGCTAGGGGCTCAGGATGGGGCCATGCCTCGTCCGTCTGACGGCGATGTGCGGGCCGCCTTCAAGCGAATCTTCGACGCGGTGGATGGCGGCGCCGAGCAGGCGCGCTTGGCTTGAGGGCCCCTCGTTTGCCATGATGCACTCCTTTGGCGCGCCCTTCAGGTGCGAGGGAGAGGGGGGGGGGGGGGCACGGCGACTGGGGCCTCCAGGCAGAGGAGCAGGCAGCCGCAGACATAGGCTCGGTGAATACCATCGCTGCGAGTACTGATGCGCTTGGCGGCATGGCCAGGGACGCGCATTCCCTTCAGGCCGCCAGAGTGGATTCTTCAGCTTCAGCTATGGGCGGCATTGTCAGGGACGGGAATTCTTTTGGCGCAGTCAGCAAGGTTCATGAGTCGTTTGCTGCACCCGAGTTAGGCAGTGCAGTGTAGTGCACGGCCGAGCGCGAGGGCCACCCCGCCCGTCCTGGCGCTGCTTGCACCAGGAGGAGGAATGGCCACAGCGCCGGGACGATGGAACAGGGCCCCGAGCAGCACATCGAGTATCCTACAGGCGGCATCGCCAGGGACGCGCATTCCCCCGGGGCCGTCGGGGCGGGTACTTCATGCGTTGCGATGAGATCTTCGGCGATCGGCGGCGCGGCCAGCGAGGCTCGTTCCCCTGAGGCTGTCGGCGCGGCTAAGAAGGCAACAAAGATTACCGAGTTGGGCAGGCCAGGGCCGGTCACGGCCGAGCGCGCGAATCGCTCCGCCCGCCCCGGCGCTGCTTGCACCAGGGGGGGGGGGGGGGGACCACCGCGCTGGGATTTCGGCTCATGGGTCCGAGCAGCAGGCCGCGCATTCCACGGGCGGCATGGCCAGGGATGCCCATGCCCCCGGAGCCGTCGGACTGGGCATTGCTGGAGCAGGGAGGAGTTACTCAGCGATCGGCGGCATGGCCAGGGAAGCGCACTCCCGCGGGCCGTCGGCGCGGGAAGGTGCACCAACGGCGGGGGGGGCCCATGGCGGCGAATGCGACATCATGGGGGCGCTTTGGAGACTACCTCGCCGACCGAGATGGGCGCAACACACTGGCGCCACTGCGGCGGCGGGGCACCACCGCCCGGCGGAGGACATCCCCGCGCAGCAGAGGGCGCCCCAGGATCAGGGATGGCGCCCCGGAAGTCCACCAGCGACAACAGCACCTCAGGCGGGGCGGCAGCGTCGGCGCCATCGCGCGTGTAGGCCACGTGCACGCTTGGCAGAAATAAGGTTGACATGGCCCCAGGTCGCACGCTCGCGGCCCGCGCGCGCAGGCCCAAAAAGGAGGGGTACATGCATGCATGTCCCGGCTGGCCCGGCAGCGGTCAACCTGTCCATTATCTGGGAGTTTGCCCAGTACACCGCGCACTTAAAGAGCCGCGGGTTCCACTGGGCTGCCATGGGGCACTGGAAGATGCCGCCCGAAACCTTGGACGTCGGCTGGATGCGCAAGCTCAACGGGGTCTTGGCGGCACCAGAAGGACCGCCATGCCAGCAGGGAGAGGGCGCTGTCCTCGGCTATTTCGCGGCATCGAAAAGCATGCGGGGTCTGGTCGACCCCGCGCCTGTCAGGGACTTCGAGCTTGCACTTGGCCTCGCTGGCAAGTTAGTCCCACAGCGTGGAAGAGCGAACCCGCGGCCTGTCAGAGAGTGCTGAACGAGCCCAGGCCGCCACCGAAGCTCGCCCCCATCATCGGGCGCGCACGAGCGCCTCGGGGATGGCAGGCGGCGGGCGCCAACGTCAAGTGCGCGGGGCCAGACGAGGGGTTGCGCGCGGTGCGGGGCATGGTGCTGGAGGGCACCGAGTTCGAGATTCTGAACAGGTACGACACTGTTGGCCCTGAGAGGAAGCTACGCGAGGGCGGGGGCGGAGCCGGGACCGCGGCGGGCCCCCGCCGGCGCAGGGCCTCGTGGACCCCGCCCCGCAAGAGGCACGTCAAGGGCCTTGAAGGCAAACCTTGGGCTGCTGCGCTGGGCCGGTGCAAGTGTCTGGAGGGCCGCTGGGACAAGATGACGGGGCGCTGTCTGGAGGTCGAGGTACTATGACACACCAGGAAGCCATCGGTGCAGAGGCTGGCCAACCTGCCAGTGGACGCGGGGCGCTTTCTGCAGACGGTCATGGGGCACTTCGCACCTCGAGCACTTGCCGCAATGGGCCAGGAACTGTTACTCTTGGGGCTTCGAGACCTCCACAAACCCAGTCGGCGCGAAGGGCTGAGAACCGTCGCGGAGGAAGCGGAGGCGCGGGGGGCGAAGCACATGCCGGCTGACCAGGTGGTCTGGCGACGCTGGGCCACATTAGCTTGTGCAGGCGGAGCGGGCCCAGCACGCGCGGTTTCCAGTGCCCCCGCGCTGCAGGGGCAGATGAGCTCCCACGCCGCCGAGGACGACGTGGCGCTGCCAGACAGGGGGCTGCAGCCGCGGGTCGACATCTGGCAGCACCACTGGCCGGGGCCGAGGGCCCCCCCCCCAGACGCTGCGGACTGGGACCTCTTGCCGAGGCTAACGGCGGTAGAGCTGCGGGATGCGATGGCTAACTCCTGCTGGAAGATGGGGGCGGGCTGTAAGGCATCGCGCCCCGCGCATTGGAAGTGCTGTCAGACGAGGGCTTGGAGGCGATCGCGGACTTGTTCGCCAAGTGCGAGCACCTACGCGGCGGCCGAGCGAGCGCCTTATCACGGCGATGGCCCGCTAGGTCAAACCTGGCGACGGGCGCCGGCTGACTGGGCCCCCACCGACGCTGCTGAGGGTCTGGAGCCGAGCCAGGAGACCGATCACAGCAGACTTGAAGCGGAGCAATGCCTCCTCATTGGCGTAGGGGACGGGGGCTGAGCTTTCTGGCTCCGACTCGGCCTTCGAGTTCAACCTGGCCAAGGAGCAGGCGGAGCTGCGCGGCTGGACCTCAGCGCAGACCGCGCCGGACCCTTGAGAGGCCTGCGAGGTCGTGGGCCCGAGGGCCCATTATGCAGGAGGCAATGGAGCTCGGCCCCCCTTCAAGCTGGCCTGGATGCTGCTGGGCACCTCCAGGCTGGCGGGGTGCCTCAAGGCCTTCAACTCGTTCTGCAGAGGCGTGGTAGGCTGGCAGGGCAACATCTCGGGCTGCAGCCATGCGACCACACTCTTGTCGATGCCGACACTCAGGGCGCAGAGCAGTGGAGAGCGTCTCGGACAACATGAAGCAGTTCAAGCTTATAAAGCAGCCTCAGAAGATAGGTTTCTGGGCGGCTTCACGGCGGACGGCGACGGCCTTCGCGCCGTTGGCCAAGCGGCTCAGGCTCGAAGAGACGTTCTGAGCGCGCAGCTTGGGGCACGAGCTCAGTGGCCGCAAAGTACAGCGTACCCAGGAGAAGCGCAGGCTGGGGGCTATACTGGCCAGGCGTCGCAGGCTGGCCATGCTGCGCAGGGCAGCAGGCCGCAAGGCAGCGAAGCTCACGGCCCCTGGGCTCACGCCGCCGGCCGGACATGGGGCGGGCGTCTCAGTGCTGGCGGACCGCTCGCTGGCGCCGCTGGGAACCTCAGCAGCTAACGCGGCAGGGGCAAAGCCAGGCTGCGGGGCCACAGCCGTCATGGTTCGGCAGGAAGGGGCCCCCTGCGATCCCACGGTGGAGGCCATTGCCCCCTCGATCACCAGACTGGCAGGCTGGATCTGCGAAGGGCAGGGGTCGCTGGCAGAGCTGCAGCGCGCTTGGCTTCGGCTCGCTCAAAAAGCTGAAGAAGGAAAGCTCGCGCTGGCCACGGCCAGAGGCCTCCGGGGGGCGGCCTGGCTGTCACTGGCCAGGATTGGCTGGAAGGCGGTGCCAGCGTGGGCACTCAAAGAAGGCAAGGGCATTGTTCTTTCCACGCTCGGGCGGGGCCCATTGACGCGAGGGACTTCCTCACGGATGGAGCATTGATGTGGCAGCGTCGCAAGGTGGTCGAGAAGCTGCCAGAGTCTCGGGGAGAAGCGCGGCGGCCAAGGGCGGCGAGAGCAATCGCCACCGCCAAGATGGCACCAGCACAGAAAAGAAAGGGCAGCACTTGTGGGTGGGAGGCCACTACACGGGAGAGCGGAGGCACCAACGGACTGAGAAAACGCGGAGCGCGCTGCATGCCGCGCACCGCTGGACAGCTCGAGACAATAAGCGGCGGGGGCGCGCCCCTCTCATGAAGCCGCACGGGGAGTAGGAGTTCCTGGATGGCCCCCGCCGAAGAAAGCGCTAGCCATGCGGAAGCAGTTCGAGGTGGATGGTGCAGGCTGGGTGCTCGGTGACAGCGAGTTGCCGCTGGCCCACGGCCTCCCGCTGGCCCTCCCAGCCGCCCCGCCTATGGATGAGCAGGCCAACGGGTTCGACGGGTTCGATAGGGGGGGCCAAAGACGCCCCTTGGCTTGGCAAGCTGTTCACTGATGGGTCAAGTTCGGCGCCCCTAGTGGCGGAGGCCAGGAGGCGTAGCCGGGCAGCCGTGGCCATGCGACCGGTCGGTAAGTTTCTGGGAGCAAGTTACAGAGCTCTTCCAGGGGCAACCCAGACTGCGGCCAGGGCGGAGCGCTTCGCCTTCGTCCCGCCGATGGAGCAGCATGGCCACATCTAATCGGCAATCACAAACCACCAGTCGTTGGTAAGAGAAGGCAGCGAGTGGAGTCCTAAGCCTGCGAGGGCAGGAACAAGGCATGCGGTCATTTGGCGGTAGACACATGCGGCGGCGCGAGCTTCTGGGCCGACTTCTTCGCGGGGCTCGTGGCCAGGGGCGCCAAGGCGGCGGACTACACGACCCGAGGGCCACAGTTGGCCCTGGCCAAGGCGGCGGGCGCAGGCGGCGACCCGGGCTGGGCAGCGGCGCGCACATGCCAGTTGGACAGCTGGAGGCTCAAGGATCGCCAAGGGCGCCTTCTGCGCAAGGCGGCCAAGCCGCGCCTGTCTGGTGCGGGGCCGCAGCTTACTTTGACCAGGCACGCCCACCAGTCATGCGGCACCATGGGCTTGCAGTGCATCAGGTGCGGCAGGGAGGCGCACGCCGCCGAGGCCAAGGACCTGATCAACCACGAGGCGCGCCAGCCCACGGAGTTAGGAACCTTGCGCGCCAGGGGGCGGGGGGGCATTCAGGGGGAAGGGCCAGTGGTCACTTCGGAGGCGGTGGAAGCGGGGCTCAAGCTGGCGGCGGAGCTGGATCTTGGGTTTCGCGTCCACGCTGGAGAGGGCTCACATAGCAGAGGAGGGCAGGAGTGCACAGAGAACGGCGAGTCCCAACGGAAAGGGGACAGGCGAGCCTGCAGCCAGCAAAAGAAAGTGGCACATTTGCTGAGCGCGGCCACGCGGCCGAGCGAGGGCCCACCGTCGGGCGACGCCACGCGAGGCAAGGACAGCGGCGGGCGCACACCTGCGGCAGCCAGTGTCCACAAAGTCCGTCGCCCTGTGCACGAAGATCATGATTTCGGAGGCATGGCCAAGAATGCGCATACCCCAGGGGCCACCAATCCTGGGACCAGCCACTCACCGCAGAGAGGCATGACCAAGCGCAACGCCGCCGCAGCAGCTAGCGATGACCGGCGCGCTGCAGGCGAAGGGGACCTAACTGCGGCAGCCGCGAACCGTCGGGGCGAGAGGGAGGACGAGCGCCCCCTGCGTCGCCCAGAGGGGGCAGCGGCCGGTGCAGGGGAGGGGGAGGGCGAGCACTCCTTGCGCCCCCCTCCTCGGCCGATAGGCCCAGCGGCCACCGACTGCACCCATCAGTGGCACGAGCAGGATGCGGCACGTCATCCAGGTGGAGAGTTGCCTGGCGGCATGGGCAAGCCCCCGTGCCCGCGGGCGGCGGACACGCAGGAGTCGAGAGCCAGCAGCGGCATGGCGAGCCGCGGGGCCTGGTGGACCCCAGTGCTGGAGGATGTGGAGGCAGGGCAGCGCACTTGGCAATTGTGGCGCGTGCCGTACACGATGGGCCTCACGCAGCAGCCCCAGAACCGTCGTTGGGCAGCAGCAGCGAGTGGAAGCAGGCTACATGGCGAGCGTGCCCTAGCCGAGGAGCTTCGCGTGGAGGCATGGAGGACTAGTCGCCCCCACAGAGTGGCGATGATGGGACACTTTCAGATGCGGGCGGAGCTGGACACTCAGGCTGGCCGCGCCTCAGCGCTAGAAAGGCATTGGGCTGCGATGGAGGGGATGCAGCAGGAGTTCAGGGAGCTATTGAGAGCGCCAGTGGGCGACGGTGCCGCCCAGCTGCTTGAATTGCGTTGCGTTCAAGCGAATCGGGCGGACCAAGGACCGTCGACCGCGAGTTCAGCGTCTACGCTTGCCATCACCCCCCTAGCCCCTCCGCCCACACCTTCCAGCCGCGCGGCCCGGCTCGCAGTGGCGGACCGTCGTGCGGCGCGCAACATGGAGATGCGCGAGGGGAGATGGGAGGCTGAGATGGAGGGGGAGGCGGCACAAGTACTTGGAGGGCGGTGGCTTCCAGTGCGGGGTCAGACAGCTGGGGGCAGCCTGCGCCCGCTGCCCCACAGGGTGCCAAGGGCGTCCTCTTCGGCGGATCAGGCGACGTTCCAGATCGTAGAAGTCGAAGGGTTTGGGGGGGATGCAGGAGATTCTGCCTCCGCCCCCCCACCCCCACCCTCAACGAGGAGTCCTTCGGCGTCCTTTTCCCGTTCCACTGCCGCGTCAGAGGCAAACGGCAACGCCAGGTAGCACGGGTGAGCGCGTCGCGGCAGACATCTCAGGCAGTGTGGCAGGCGCTGGTTTCAGTACTTGGTCGGTAGACGGCGCGGCCAGGGATGTGCAGTCCCTTGGGGCCGTTGGTGATGCAGAGGAGTTTCGTGCTGAGCTTGGGGCTGGCAGGCATAGCACCGTGAGTTCCCCAAAGCAGGCCGAGCGTGAGGACCCGACCCCCCGTCCTGACGTTTTTTACCCCAGGGGACACGTCGGCCCCCCCTTCCGACGGGGTGGACGTGCTTTTCGGGCGAGCTGCGCGGAGCGACGAAAACAGACCCGAAGCAGCCACCCATCCCCAGGCGTTTGCAGCCCAGAGGGCCATTCAGCCGTGGATGGACAGGCTCAGCGACGAGGTGTCCACGCGGCTGCCGGTTGCAGGCGCACCCGAGGCAGGCAAAGATAGTTGGGCGGCGGAGTGTGCAGCAGCTGGTCTTAGCGCTGCACCAGAGCAGGTTCGACATCCTCTTCGAACCCCTTGCCCAGCAAAGGGCGGACGCTCTGAGGCGGCAATATGCCCATGACGTCCTGCGCCAAGGCCTAGGAGGAGGGGAGCGCGGGTTCGGTGCGCCAGCCCTGCGTGGCCAGAGGACCAGCCAGGCCCCAGCCTTCGCCGAGTGCTGGAGGGTCAGCAGGTGCCGCAGGAAGAGCCAAGGTCAAGATCGCGTTCCCCGCCGAGGCAGCAGTTGGGAGGCATGGCCGAGTCGGAGGTGGAGAACGATGTGGCTGGCCAACCTTTGGGAACGGAGGCTGGCGGCGATTCGTTCTACGAGGGGCTTCGAAGAAGGCGAAGAAAAGGAGATCGTGGGTGAGCCTAGAGGAGTGGGCGATTTCGGCCACCAGGATGCGTCGGAGGAGAGCAGCGCGGTCTCGCCAACTTCGCCGCCCGGCCTCCCCAGCCCTAGCTCGAGCAGCTCGGGGCGTGCAGGCTCAGGTGCCCCTGCAGCCGGCCCAGCCCGCCAGGCTTCCCCTGGGCTCGGCGCCTCCCCGCGGCGCCAGCAGTGGCAGCGTGTGCAGCGGCGTGCCGTGCCTCGGGCCGGCGGGGAGCGGGGGCGGCGGAGGGTCGTTCCGAGGAGGGGCGGGGTGCCGCAGGTGGCCAGGCCAGGCCCCGCAGCCCGCCTAGGCCTGGCATGCAGAGGAGGCGCGAGGAGGCCTGCTTGCGGCGCGAGGAGTTGCGCCTAGCGCGCGAGCTGGGCCACCGGCTTCCGTCGGCCTGGCCGCACCTCTTCTGCAAGGAGTGCGGGGCGACGGGCAGGGCCGCGAGGCCAGGCAGGACCAAAGGATTCGTGCAGCAGTGCCCAG